GTCCAGTCACGTCCTTCTGGACTGTGTGAGACTGCCTCTGCTTCTCAAGTGCCAGTTTCTGCCTCCGGCCCATTTCATTATCAAAGGATGCTGTTAGCTGAACGAACAGCTCTGCTCCAAGATTCCAACGGTTTTACGGTACTTTATGCCTACAAACGCTAATATTTTTTGGAGGCGGTAATACTCGGATGAACTGACCTTATGGTGGGTATTCACGTTGAATAAGTAGGCTTGTACCCTCTGCCTATTGATTTCTAAGGGTTTTAGTAATATTTATCGAATATCTCATCTGAAATGCATTTCACCTCACAGTCGTCGAAATCGAAAAATCATAAGCTTAGAAATCCGCGGACTTGACATATTATATTTATCGACGATTCGTTTCGACTTGCTGTCATGTCAGCTAATCATCCGTTGCTTCTCCTATTTTCACAGGTGCATTACCAGTCATCTTTACCGTCGATACCGTTGAAGATTTTACCGTCGATCACGGAGCACCCATTGCGCTGGCCGTTGCTGGCACTTTTTTATTTGTCACTAGCTATTAGTTATCTGCAGATATACATTAGCCACCTGTACACCCGCTTACACTAGCTCTCATCATCTAGTTCTACGTATGTGTGTGTTTGTTTTAATTGTATTGCCGATGAATTCGGTAGACATGCTCCGCCCGCAAACATGTACCACATGATGCAGTTCACTGAATGTAGCAGTTAATCACTCGTAAAAAGCGGTCATGTTTTCGTATAGTGTAGGTATGCATCTATGTAAGCATGTGTTCACACTCATGAGCGATCCACACATGATATTGCATTTCCTGTTCAGTTATATTTTAGCACTGGAACACGATGCTCATACACTGTGTTGTTATCTTTCTTTTTTCGCCTGCTCCTTCCTCCAACTTGTGTCTTTGAATATTTCAGTCACATGCTCAAACGTTCTTAAATGCTCTCGCCATCGGTTACGGATGCGTTGAAAACGGACATGTGTTGACCAAATTTAACAATATGCGGACAATGGATCGACTTCTTGAAGCCTGTGGACGTGATACACCTTCTCCATCACCATCAAGAGATCAACATTTTCGAAGACACTTGCGTACGGCTGGTATGTATTCATATTTGAATGTCCATTGTCAACACGTTGCAGAATGCTTTACATTTTGTGTGATCATTTACTGTCCTCATTCCTACACAATGCCAACATGTTTGTCATCGTCTTCATGTACCTATCTATTGGGATTGATGTTTGCGTTTACTGACAGACACTTGTCAACATTTTCAGCAGTGTCCGGCGCAATGCTGAATGCGACCTGTTATCTGTTGGATCTACTCTGTGAGCCCGAACCCCAGTGCAAGTGAGTTGTTTGTTACACCAGTGCCGGAGCACTCTGTAATATGTGCAAGAGCCTGTGACTTTGTTTGCTTGGCTAACTAAACGCATACCTACGGAAAATCATTCCAACGTTGCTTTGGTTTTCAGTTGAGATGTCAATCGGATACCAACTTTTTGGTATACCGATACCAAACCGATACCAACTCGGTATTTGGTATTTCAATCCTAATGTGTTTGGTATTTTGTTGGTATCATGAACCCTCGCTAATGTCTAAGAGGCTAAGAAATCGGTAAAAAGTTGGTATTTTCCTCATGTTCCCAAGTTGGTTTGGTTTCGGTATATTTCTCCACGGTTTTGGTTGGTGTTTGGTTTGGTATCGGTATTCCGATTTTCCACTTTTCAGTGTTTTACTGCATTTTTAAAGCAGTGCCTACACATATCAATCAAATATATCCCGCGCACCGACGGGGGGGGGGGGGCGGATTTCCGCCCCCCCTGAGGTTTTCCCACTATCTACGGTTTTCAGGTTTTCAGGAAAACCGTGCGCAGGATATTCTAAATGCCTTAATATGGTCCATTCCATAACCATCTAACCGAATTCCCGAATTCCCGATATTCGAACCGAATTTCGCAAACCTTCTCCCTTTCTGGCAGTGGCACTGTTCGACTACAGCGCTGGACGTCGTCTACTTTTTGCTAGAGGGAAAGGTCATCATCCGTCCATGAACTTCGGGCTGCTCACAGCTATATTGCCTTGGCAAGTTCTTTGAGCACTCAATATTGGACTTGGGCTGCGAAAGCTAATGACAATTTGGGGAGCTTGATATTGCAATGGCTATGACGTGAAGGTTCAATATGACGAACAGCTCGACTATTCACCATTGTCAACGCTTATGATAGCTAAATATCATTGTGCTTGGTGTACATTCACGTCTCGTTTCCTTGCTCCATTTGTACCTCACCGGTCGTCCGTCCCCACAGGCCTCGGCTGCAGCACAAGCCACATTCATCGGCCCAATCATCAGTTATTCATCCTGCAAGTTTTAAGTCACTTCGTTGTGACCCGGACATCGTCATCTTTCAACGAGTTCAAATGATTATTTCATTCATCATCGTCGATCAGACTCATCATGTAAAGACACTTCCATAATGCTAGCCGCCATCTACGTTTGTGCAGGAAGCAAATATCAGGTTGTTATTAGCTGCGGCTACTCAGTACCGACTGAACTACTGGCAGTAGTGTGCGAGCACCTAATACTTGTATTGTGATACCAAAGCTAAAACGGATGATAGCTTAGCGCATAGCGCCCTACCGCTTTCCACACACACACACAAACAAAACTTGACTTTGGGCATTAGCACCATGGCAGGATAAACAGGCAGTTTCGCTGTTTTTCACTGCTTTCATTGGCAGGTGTTACTGCTCATTCCCGTTTTATGTGATGTTAGAACAGCCCTTCACCATAGTCCTGTTTTCTCCTTTGCCGCTTTCCATAGACATCAGATGCGACATGCACTCCAACGATCGGTCAGGCGCATCACCGTCAATCCGGTCGCCTGTTAAGCAGTTCGTAATCACCGTCAGTCTTCGACATCTGTCAACACACTTATCCACATTATCGCCTTACTTTTGATCTTATCAATATGCAAGAATGAGTGCAAAATGCATTCCAATATTGCATCAGTTGATGTTGTATCGCAATGACACCGCGTCCTCACCTCACATCTGTTGTGCATACTTGATCACGAATGCCAGTTATACGCAGATTCACATGGTGAAGTTTTACTCCGTTGACGTTTTCTTTCCATTCTTGTAGTCGATCAAGAGGGATTACAGTTGCACATGCGGCCTTACACATGCGTCCTTCCATGTTAGCTGATTGATATGTTGGACACACTGGTTTCTGTGACTCCAAGTAGTTCTGCATTGGTATTGCTTCACTTTATATGTTCTACCCAAAGATCGTTTCTAGTTTTGTCTTAGCTTGCAGCTGTATGCCATGAACATACAGGGTACTGCGCATCTTTATCGTGACATTCCTGTAGTTTCGTCACTTTTGCGGATGATTAGGACCATGAGCTCAGTTGCAGATGCGTCCAGCAGCCACCGACATTTCTACACTTTAAATTCCTAGTCTCGGATCTTATCCACATGCCAACATGATTTGAACATTTCACACGTTTAGTGATGAAATGAGCAGGTATCATCTACTACATTATATTTTCATGTAAAGCACACTCCAGTCTGTGAAAAAAAGAAAACCATTAGGAGCAACAATCATGCCTTAGACAGTATAGTTGCCATAGATATTACGTTGTGCAGCGGGCAGGCCGGTGCACGAAATGGCGAGTGTGAATGCAGGAATGCGTGTGAAAAACTGCCTAGGTGTGGAGTGGCTGGTTTGTCTTCCGTTACATCGTAACGGGCTCTTGACGTAGTCTTTTTTTAGTAACACCAATCATCTTTCGAACTTGAATTAACGTAATTGAAAGATGGCTATCACATTTGGAGCCAACTTATTTGCTAATTGCGTCAAGGGCGGGCAGCGCGGTGCGTGGATGCCTTTTGGTAAAGCTCACGTCCTAATATACTATCCTGCCCTTACCAAGCGTGCATCCATGTTTCCTCCATCCGGCTCCTCGTGCCGCTGCCTGGAATATTAGCCTACGGCTAATATACCAAGAGATGGAAAACTTTTCGTTGGTATGGAATATGGATGCCTCGTGGTTCAACTGGTGATGTTCAAAACAACTGTACCGTGTGTCAGGTAGGTCTTACTTACTCACTTTCCGCTTCATTTTTTTTTTCTTGGCCGCGTAGGAAATATGATTTGACGGTAATCGTGGCGCTTTTGTTTCAGTGGCTGAATGACAGCGACATCTATAACTCAGGCTGCACTCAGAGCCCGAGTCTGAGTTTGACTAAAAAAATCGCCCATAAAAAATTCGTCCATCGCCCGCCCGCCGCGATGCGGGTGATTTTGTTTTTGCGTCGTTTTCGGTAAAAGGTTTATTTTCGGTTGGCGGCGGCCGGGCGCATTTTTGCGGTTTTGCGTTTGACGGCGGGCGGCCGTTTTTTTGCGGCGTTTTGCGGTTGGCGGCGTAGAGTGCAGTGCACGTCAGTTCGTAGAACACGCACTCCGGTCTGCACGTGCAAGGCTCATCCTCTCGTTTGGCAGCGGGCGTTTTTGCTGCGTTTACAAAGGTGCTTGCTCAAACAACCTGCGGTCCCGCGATGCGGAGCCCAGCATCGCAGATGCTGGTAACCGCAGGTTGTTTGAAAAGACAAACACTATTCGTTAGAATTGTGTTTTTCTATTGAAAAACAACCGGAGCGGTCCTTCTCCGGGCTATGTTTTGCAAGTCTGGCAGCGAATTGGGGCAACTTGGTCGCAGCCTAGAGTTTTGCGTTTAGGATCGTAAAAATTTCAGGGTATAGACTTTTGCAGGTGATCTACCTGATGGTACCGGTCGCTACTCGCAACAAAAATCATTGCGCGTGCCACGTGCAATTGCATTTTCCCCATGTTAAGTCAACGGGGTTTTGGACACTTTTTGCGCGATCGCCAATGGCGGGAAAACGAGCCAAGAAGGAGGTGGTTTTCTTCCCAGCATTTTATGGCAAACACGTTCTGGTACACGCCAGTGTGCGCCGTATACCCGTCAGAATTCGTTAACTTGAGTTGCACGAGTTTGAAGTTGAACTTTTTTCGCTCCCCATGTTAAGTCAATGGGCGTTTTTGCAGAGGCATTTTCATTCGCTCATTGTACAAAATTATATGATACGATTTTGTTTAAACTTTCAGGACTTGTTGAAAAAAGACCATAGAACATGTTGTTATGCTTCGTTAAGCTGTCAGAATTCGTTTGCTCTTTTGAAGCTCGTTTAAAAATGAAAAATTTTAACATGGAAAGTCAATGGGAGCGTCTTTGCTGCTTTATAACTTTTTACGTTATAGATATATTTAAGTGAAAAGTTGATAGGTTATACAACTTTTGATGCTCTTTCCAATGATATATAGAACGTTATTGCACGTTGTACCGTTTTTGAGAAATATAGTAAAAAAGCACGACATTACCGAGATTTGAGCTCAGACCTATGTCGTTACGGTGTCAGGCGGACACGAGGACAGGTGGCGCCGCCGCCGCCCGCATAGCGGCGGGAATGTGAACTAACCTGTTTACCATCTATGGTATGGTACCATCGGGGGACCGGCCGCCGTCGGCACCATTTCGGGACTTTGCATCGCAATAAAAGGCTTATTTACAATTGAAAATGGACTAGCGAGAGTCGTTATGGAATTAGAATTTGATGCTCTACAAAACTAGGCTATTTTCATTGTGATGGCATCACAGACTACACCGCTAACCCCAATAAAGCAGATTTATGTCGCGTCATCGATGATTACATATAATGTTTCTTTGATATATACAGGGTGTCCAGAAAAAACGGATATTATTATTTTTTGCTGTAATTCCGAAAATAAACACCTAACATTTTAAAATGGCACATGCTTGTATTCGCCAAAATATGGCAAAACTGACAGCAGGTGCCACATGGCATGTAAACTCTTTGGTTAGTTGCGGCAGCTCCTCAAAGCAGATACTCCATGTGAGCGGCCTTACGGCGGATCAGCTCCAGCACTAGCACAGTCTGCAGGTGACTGATGGTCATGTTGACCATCTCGGAGGGCAAGCAGACAACCTTCCAACGACGCATTACAGTGCTCATGAGTTTTGCCAAATCTTGCACTATAAGCACATAAATTTGGAACAAAATCGGCACGTGCGTTAATGAATGCGACTTAATTTCCGTAGTATCTTTTTTTCCTGGACACCCTGTATGTAGTCGGGTCTTTCAGCTGCGTCCCTCCCCTCCCTCGCCGCGCCGGCGCACACTGGTCGGAAACGCCCTCACGAGAGGCCACGGGCGATTCCGGAGTTTCGGATTATTTTCTATATAGATCGATTTGAAATTGATCAAATTATTATACTTAGGCCAAAAAAACTAATCCGGGTGACCAAAAATAGCTGTAATCAGCCCCCGAAGATGGGGTATCCCAGAACTCGGAAACTGACGCGGAGCAAGAGGTTTCTTGTGCCGGATATTCAGAGTCTTATTGCTGATAGACACCAAATTGAAATCCCACATATTATGCATCAAAATGTTCGTTATGAAGTTGCCGACTGGTCAGTGCAAAATTTTTGGCATACTTTTTTCCCTAACTAAGATGTACTATAGCTTTTTTATGAAGGCTCTCCTACAGTGATTCTGGAATATAACTGCAAAGTTTAGGTAAGGAAACAACAGGTAGTCCCATCTAGTTCCACTCTGATTTTTTGTGAGATGAAGTAGGATTTAAATTTACACCAGGGCAACATAAAAGCTAACTGCGCATATTTGCGCAAAATTTGCAGGAGCCGCTCTTCCTACCCAACTACCGCCCGCCCCGCCCCAGTTTCGGCTCGGCCGCCGCGCCCGGCTTACGCTGACCTGTGTGGCCTGCACGCATCCATGCGTAGTTGACTGGTCATTAAAAACAGATGCGCTTGAGTTTATGAATTTTGTGAAAAGCGCGTTTTATGTATGCATTTATGCATGTATTGACATCAAAAGCCTTCCACATATTGCGTGGCGTTTACGGCTTGCATTTAGAGAGCCTTGCTATTGACAACCATCACTCGGCTGAAGAAAGTGGAAATTGAAACTTTCGTGAATATAAGACGCTGCAAATATAGGACACCTGTCACTGAC